TTCAATCCTGTGTTTTTCTTCTAATAAGAAACTGACTTTTCTTATTATGCCTCCCCAAAAACAACTATCCTTTAGAATATATATCCAAATGTATTATATAACAATTATTTATGCTGGAAATATATCAAGAAACGTCTCACCATGTTGATTATTGATGACAGTCTTCTGGAGGGAGCGCCAGGCTTGTTTGGCACCTGTTGTCCTAAATATATTTGGAGGCCTGCTGTTTTTAAAAAAGCGTCTATTTCTACATAAGTTGACTTTTGTTTTGAGTGAAACCAAGAGCAGAGAAGAGATGTGCGCCCAATTCTTTCTGCCAATCGATCATACTGCGGATAGATCGATATGGCACCAGGGCTATTGATCACTACAGTCCTCTATTGCTAGGCGCTTTCAAATGCAAATGTACCTAAATAATAATCTGTGGCAACACACTAATTCCTTAATAAACTGCAGGAAAACGCTTTACCGACACAGCGATTCAATGGGCAAGTGCTTCAACATTTAAGGCCTTTAAAATGTGGCCGCAGAGCTCTGACTGTGAAACAGGCAGCTTTAACAGTAGGCTGCCGTTTAAAGATTTAACAGGACAAACAGGTAACACTCAGAATGCACAGTCACATTGATTTGGCCTGTAGCCTACTGGAAGTTTGTAAAATAAAAATAAAAATAAAAATCTGCAGCCAAGGCGATAAGTTAAAGGTGAAGTGACATTAAAATAAAGAATGTACCTCCCCAAATACAGCACACACACACTCCCTGCTTACAGAAATAATTTAAGTTTTAGTTTAGCCAGATAGTTGCAATTTATATGAGAATTATGAACATATTTTCACACTTTATTGGGTGTCTAAGATGTTGAGAAAAATTAGAAGCACACACACACACACAGTTAGGCAGATCGACACAGACACACACGAGTTACTTAAAAGTAGAGCCATAGGCAAACAGGGCAGATGTTGTGAGTTATTCCCCCAACAAGGCCATATCAGTGTGTGTGTGTGTGTGTGTGTGTGTGTGTGTGTGTATTGGGATGAGAGCAGCAGAGCCCCGTCCCGCTGACTTGCTCAGAGGCCTGATCAATGCGACATTACTAAACACTGCTACTTAACTTTTGCCAATAGCCAGATTCAAGTAAATATACTTTAGAATACATTAAGCGTGATGCATCAGCCACGGAGTCATTCAAGAAGTCATGAAAAGATTAGTCTGTCTCTATCGAGTGATTCCTGGGAAAATAGACAAGCTTATACGGGAGAGTTGGTCCAATGGAAATACCTCTCATTAACACACTGTGTTTTATATAAATACAGGGAAATAAAAAGGAAGTTCTGAGGGAAGTTTAAATTTAATTGTGGGCGCCTACTGCGTTAAATTACACTCAAGTGTAAAATAAAATTTAAAAAATACATTAATATTTTTAAAAAATCTAAACATTAATTCCTATAATATAATAAGAATAATTGACATTACAGTATTTGCAATAGGGAAATATAAATTGAATGTAATGTGTTTTTTACACTGAGAGTCTGCAGCACTCAGCCAAATGAAAAGCACAGCTTAAACTTCCCAGCTGAGTGCTATGTGGTCATTTCCTGTAATGAAACTGCCTGTTGAGACAGGTCAAACACATAACAGGACTTTTTAGCAGAATGCATTTTTGGCCCTATCGATCCTTCAGAAATGCATTGAGCGAAGCTCCGGGTTCAACATTGATTAGTTGATCAGCAAACGACAGCAGTGCTTAAAGATAAAAACAAAATGCTTTGGGCCTCATAAAAGACTTGAATGTAGAGTCACAGTGACTTTAAAACTAACTGAACTGAATTACCAAAGTCCTGTGTGAAATAAAATAGTACAACTTTTTTGGAATAAGATTTTATATTATTAACAAATACATTAAAAACACATACAAAAGACGGATGCACAATGCCTGCAGTGTGTGTGTGTGTGTTATTAAAGTCGATGCCAACGTGGTGCTGAGGCCACACCGCCTCGCCCGCTGTTATTAATATGAAATAAATCACCGGGTCTCTGCGGCATCGCCCCAGTCACACCGCAGATATCGACACAGTTAATATTTCATATTGTATTTGCCATAGGATATGCTTATTTAAGTATTCGAAAACAGTACATTAAAATACAAATTAAAACTGAGCTCTAGGCTGATACATAGATTTTTCTGTGTGTGTGTGGAGGGGAAAATAGCTGTGTTTACTTTGCATTCAAATTTTATTTTGGCTCGCTGAATGAACGATTCGAGCAAGCTGCATAGAATTGAAGAAATCAACACTGATTGGAAATAGGAAAGGTGCACGGATCAGTTCCCCACTGGTGACCTTGCTCTTCTATCTGTGTGGAGTCATCCTGGTGCAGAGGAGCCCATAGAAAATAGAAAGAAATCACAGAGAGAGAGAGATGGGACTGATATGAAGTTCACAAGTTCTTGGTGAAAGTATAAAACTTTTCAGCGCGTTGTTTTGGGTTGTAAACCCTGGTGAATTAGGAGCAAGGAGCCAGCAATGAAAGTTAACATCCATCACCACCGCGACCAATAAGCTGCTCTGGCCGGCTGGCTGAGCACAGATGACGGATTCGCTGCTGTGCGGGCTTCGGTAATTCATTTTCGATAGCAGTGGTTGCTGGGATCAATACAGGGACATTAACCCAAGCGGACACTGCTGTTCTCCTGATGGCACAAGCCAAAAGCCACCATCCCCCGTTGGCAATCAGCAAAGACACAGTTTTTAGGGTCATTATTTTGGGTGGAAGAGGAGCAGTGTGCCAAGGCCACTGATCTCACAATTCATCAGTGGAGTTATGGATGGCCTTGACCTAACTGTTGGTAAACACTGGTCAGGGAAATTATTTTATGCAATTTGCAAATGATTAGTGATGCCACTTCCTGGATTGTTAGACTATTTTTTCCAGCTTCGGGTCGAAAATCCTAATGGCCTCATTTTACATAACATCGGTGTAAATGCCAAAGCTTCTCACTTGGTAACAATGTTCACAGAGTTTTCAGAGCAGCTGAAGGCCTACTGAGGGAGGGCTGATGTGGTTATCGGTGGCAACACGCACGCACACACACACACACACACACACACACACACACACACACTCACGAAACACTCAAACATGTCTAAAACATTTCAGAGGTGATGATTTTTACTGTTTTCTAGCACTCGCATATGTCTCATAGTCTCACATCTCACCCATACAGCTGCACACACACTATATTACATAATAACACAATATAACAACCCTGCAATAAATAATATATGTTTCTGAAACGTATACTGATCAGATTTTAGATTAGACATGTGTCAGAATGGCGTTGATTCAAATCTCAAATCAAAGTCATTTTTGAGGCTATATGGGGAACAAAACGACATGATGCACCTCACATTATACCGCAAATTAAATACAGTCACCACAAACTACCAGTCCACTAAAATGCAGGTTGTATATTGCAGCTTAAACAACTGAGTATTGGAATATTGGCTGTATTGGGCTAAACGCTGCAGGTGCTCCTGACAACAGGAAGCAATACGATAAATAAAGCCATATTTACTCGGTGTTTATAGCAGATGGAAAACTACTTTTGACAACTTCATACACTCAGTTTGCACCCAAAACGCGTGACTTATCCGTTAGCCCTTTACAGAATCCAATGCCTGGATCTCAGCGTGCTGCTATATCGCATCCATATTGCGGGCTCCTGCAATAGGCACCAACCTATCGATGCATCTCCTGATCCATACATACTTTGACATTGATGGATTGCTGACCTGGATTGACGTCAGTGAGCAGCAAGTTTCATACCGAAGTTTATAAAAAGGCACCAAACACTGTATGCGAGTTCGTGTGAGGGAGTTTGATTTTCATGGCCTGAATCCGAGGAGCAAAGATGCTAAAGGGGTCAAAGCCTAAAGGCTATGATGAAATGAAACTCGACAGATTTATTCAGTAACACTTGCTGAAGAAAAAGAAAAAAAAAACACTTGTAAGAAAAAGTTATGAGTGAAGGCTTAACGGCCAGACACTGGACAGAAAGATTGGACTGTTTGCTTTTCAGATTGTAAAGAGAGAGACGCAAATGTAATTTCATTGGGAGGCTGGTTATCATTTAAACGTGTCAAAGGTCAAACCAGCAGTCTGAAGACTGTGAATCTCATGTTTTAAACTCTTGAAAAGAATTAATTTACATCCACAAATAATTCTTTCAGTGCGCATCTTACATTTATGGATATCAAAAATAGAAATGAGGCTGTAAGCTGTGACCTCTCCGAGAGAAGCTGTGGTTTTCTCATTACACCCATAGAACTGAAGTGACACATGTCAATTAATATTTAACCTTCAAGAGAGGCATCACATGGGCTGCTGGCGCCGTGTCAAACAGTTTTTATCAGAGAAAACAAGGAGCGAGTCGTCCTTATCCATCTGAGTGCAAATGTTGCACACACTGCAGAGGGTTGCGCTCCTGTTTTATCTTCACAAACGCTCTAATGCAATCTTTTTCAGGAATTTGAGGCTCAGTGTGCAACCGCGAACAACCCATGACATAGGGGCCAGTGACGTCAGATTGGCCCCAGACAAGAGTGCGCGAGTGCGAGGATACTCTACGGGAGCGCGCACATGCGCACAGGCTCGGTCTCATCTTGACATGAGCGCGGGCGCGTCAATATACACACAGAGAGCAGAGCGGCGCTTTGGGTATAGTAGAAGGTGCTCTACAGCGAGAGAAATCCAGGCAGGCGCACCTTCACACACCGAGCAGAGGTTTGCGGCGCAGTTTGTGTGGCGGCCGGGACCCGATCTTTTAAAACCATGCTGGATTGACTGCAGAGAGGCAACTACAATCAATGGCTTGGCTTTGAAATCGTTCAAAATTTATTGGAAAGGAGTGTGAGATAGAGCGACAGTGAGAGAGGAGGGAGAGCAGCGAGGGAGAGAGCGAGAGAGTGGCGAGAGGGGTGGAAATAAAGATCCTTTCAACGATGGAGCTTACAATGGAAAACATTGGAAATCTGCACGGTGTATCTCACTCCCATCAAACGAGCGACTTAATGAACTCCCAACACGCGCGCCAGTCGTCGGCGTCGCATCGGAACTTGGTGTCGCACGGACGGTCAGCCATGGTGTCCAGCATGGCCTCTATACTGGAGGGAGCAGGGGACTACCGCACAGACCACGCTTTGTCTGGCCCCCTGCATCCGGCCATGACCATGTCGTGCGACTCCGGGATGAGCCTGAGCAGCACCTACACCACACTGACGCCGCTGCAGCACCTGCCCCCCATATCCACCGTCTCGGAGAAATTTCACCATCCACACCCACATGCTCACCATCATCCGGCGCACCAGCGACTCGCAGCCGGGAACGTCAGCGGCAGCTTCACCCTGATGAGGGACGACCGAAGCCTCGCCTCCATGGGTAACCTCTACGGCCACTACCCCAAAGACATGTCCGGCATGGGACAGCCTCTATCCCCTCTGTCCAACGGTCTGGGGTCTTTGCACAGCTCCCAGCAGACTCTCAGCGCCTACGGTCCCGGAGCTCACCTCTCCAACGACAAGATGATCTCCTCGGGGGGCTTCGAGTCCCACGCAGCCATGCTGTCCCGGGGCGAGGAGCACCTGGCCCGGGGTCTCGGGGGCCACGGGGCCGGGCTCATGACATCCTTGAACGGCATACACCATCACAGCCATCCGCACTCTCAGGCAAACGGGTCCATGCTGTCAGACCGGGACAGGCAGACGGTGGTGGGAGGCGGGCAGGGAGCTGGGTCAGGGCAGGTGGAGGAGATAAACACCAAGGAGGTGGCACAGCGAATAACGGCAGAGCTCAAGCGCTACAGCATCCCCCAGGCCATCTTTGCTCAGAGGATCTTGTGCCGGTCCCAGGGAACTCTGTCTGACCTGCTGCGGAATCCTAAACCGTGGAGTAAACTCAAGTCTGGCCGGGAGACGTTCAGGAGGATGTGGAAGTGGCTCCAGGAACCCGAGTTCCAGCGGATGTCGGCACTGAGGCTTGCAGGTGAGTGAGGAGACAGCTCCCAACCTGAGTGATGTGGAGGGATCAATTAGAAGTCAATGTGGCGAGACTGTCAATAGCTGCTCAAACAGACATTACTAGAAGTTATTAGTCGATTGTATCGAGTAAAACTTCATCATGACAGTTGGGGTGTTAAATGTTGGGGGAAATCTATATTTTGATTGATGCTACAATCCATGATAGTATAAACAGACGCTGTGCAACACTGGAGGTGTTATAAACAAAACGGGGGGAAGCTTCCCTCAAAAGCAGACGAGGTGCAAACGCAGTCTGCACAGATGTGTTGCTTCTTACGCACATATAGTGGTTTTACGCACGTAGAAAGCATGGATAGCACACCTCACTCCTCTCCCTCTGTCTCCCTGTCTCTGTCTCTCTCTCACACACACACAAACAAACACACACAGAAAGAGACCAAACAAAGGAAATCAAAACAGGACGTGACCAAAATTGATTACATCTCGCAGCTCCTACTTTAAACAAACTTTTCAGATCACTGCAACTCAGTTTTACTTTGGACTCATTTGTATAAAACAAACTTGATGTAATCCCCCACGTCAAATAAGCGCGTGGTTGCAAACAAGAATCGTCTGAGGCCTGGCCAAAGAGTCGGGGGAGCATGACCTCCTATGGATCAATATTTCAGGTCCAGGCGTCCCCTTTCAGAGTAGCACACTGATAAATGATCGATTTGGATCTGAAAGACAGAGACACAAACAGATGCGTCTTTCTCTGGCCTGTGTTGTCTCCTCTGCACTCTGGGATATCTTGTCTCCAAAGTTGGTTTAGGGCCTGTTTTCTGAGCCTGAGATATTGTGTTTATTGTGGCTTGTGAGGTTATTCGTGTGGCCGTGATAACAGAAAGGATGAACTCTTACTGTCTCTCTCCATTTTGTCTTTGTGAGTGCTTCATCTCTTTCATCCATCGTTTAGGGGTTTTAAATTATCACACTATCACACCTCCCCTTTAAACCCCTTTAACACTCCTCACCTGATTAACAGGCCGCAAATGAAAACGAGGGACGTGCAGTGGGGTTAAAACAGAGATGTGAGTGAGAGGTCCCCTCTCATTGATGTTTGTGTAAAGGCCCTGTTTAGACGTGCTGCGCTCCCAAACGTCAATCAGCTCTTCTGTGTCGTATTTCAGCGAACAGTTCAATTAAGCAGATATAGTGGCATATTTTAGTTCCAGTCAATGCCCTATTGAAAAGCACTTAATGGCATGTAAATTGTTCCTTTGCGCATTTAGTGGGGTTCTGGTAAATAAAGATTTAAACACTCCACAATTGTCTCTTTAAGTGCCACTGCTGTTAAAGCTAATTGGGCTGTGGGGTTTTATATCTTCCACACCCGGCATCAGGACCCCAATCCAATTGACATGTTGGAGTGGCACAGTCCTGTGGAGTGCACACCTACTGCATATTTTAATGTGGTCAGGCCCAGGGCAGCCTATAGGTGTAAGGTGCGTGTGTGTACAGTACACGTATTTGTAAAATGGAAATTAGGGCTGCACTCTTATCTTGATTTGATCCGATGGAGATGGATTTTTTGTTAATTATTCTATTTTAAAATACATTTTATTATAAATTTACATTAAATATGTTTATTTTTCTTTCTTGAATCAGCAGATTTTCCAGCGCTCATTGTGTGTTGTGCATTAACCTGCTGCCACAATAGGTCTGAGAGAAACATCCAGTTTGGCAAAATGACAAATGACTTGTATGTAAATGCACGGAGCAACATTTTACTTATTGCATTTAAAATCACCATTATCCTCGGTGCGCATGTGGGCTGGGAGTGGGAGTTAGGGGGGGTTGTGATGCTGAAAGTGAGGCTGGGCCATACTCGCTCGGCCACATCAATCAATAAATTCAAATTACTATTCCAAATTCATCACAGTCACACAAATCAATGCAGCTGCCCTGCTTAGCTAATGTGAAAATGCCAGTGTCTGCACACACACACACACACACACACACATATGACAATCCACCCCTGAAACGAAAAACAGAGCAGAGATCGGCCCGTTTGGGGGGGAATGTGTGCCCTTCACGCTCAACATCTCCCAATGCAGCGAGGGCAAAGACCCACAGGCTTTCCCACCTATTGTGTTCTTCATGCAGACCCACAACACGCAGGCCCTGCAAAAAAAAAAAAAACTTCGACCTTTGGATGCCTTTTTATACATTTTCCGAGCATCTTAATGCATCAGTCGACTACTGTATAAAATAAACAGGCAGCTTCATTGTAAAGCTGCACAAGTAAGAAAGACGCGGGCAAAGTGAGGTTTGGGAGGCATTTAAAGATCGCATTAACGATGAAAACAATTCGTCTTTGCATCTGTGTTGAATTCCACACTCCATCTCAATGTATTTGGTCGGGTCAATACAGCCCTGATCGATAAGGATAGCCAGTGCATCTATCAATTATCCCGCCTCAGCACTCTCTTCCATTGGTCTCTCCCCTGGAGCAGAGGAGGGGGGAGGCGGGAGCCGGAAAAAGAGGAAATAGGACAGCTGTTATTTAAAAAAGCGCCACTGCACACCTTTTTCTCTGCTGTAATCATGTTACATTTGTTGTGTGTAATGCGCTATCAACATCCGTCCTACTGTATTTGGGGCTCGGCTTCACAGTCGTTCGGGTAATGTCTTCACACAGATGCTGGACACACACACACACACACACACAGAGAAAACGTTCACTCATATCAGCAAACGGCCGGTTTATCCCCACATGAAGCACACATTGCTATCCCTCACTGTGGTTGCAGATATTCTCTCCCTTCATTCTTCCACGTGACAGTGATGAGGTGCCATGGCATTCCTAAAAAAAAAAGCGCAGTTGGTTTATTACCATTTGAATGGCCGCAGCACGTGCCAGGGTGCACAGGTCAAGACCCAAAGGACACGGAGGAAAACATTGTTCAGAATGAGGGTGAGAGGCCTCTATTCATGTTTCAATGGACTACACGCCGTTTACACAGGCCTAATCCTGGAGCAATACTCCTCCCCATCCCCCATCCCCCATCCCCCGTCACACTGCGCCCTTTACACTCCGCGCATGCATCACTGCAATGCATACACTCATTTTCCCTGGTAAATATATTTTTATTGAGTTGAGGCTGTCCTCAGTTATAGGCTGGAGGTAATAATTTTGAGGCTTTTATATTATTTGGTTGCATCAAACTGATAAAAGTAGAATATTTGACATGCTTTAAAGCATAAATTATAGTTTTTCTGCAAACTAAATACATTTATCTTGGTATGTATGTTACCTAAAGTAGGTTATAGCCTACTTTTTGTTTTATTATCCTCTATAAGCATTTATTCTGAAGCCCACAGTTTCTGCCTTCAGGTCAGTGTGAATGGCGCTGTCCAGAGTGCTGAACTGCAGCATCTCCTCTGTTTTGAGGACAGTTCAAGGTGGTGAACTGAATTTTACCAATACATAGTTAATAGCATTCTTGTAGCCCTAAACACCATTATTTCATCCAACAGCTTCCACCCATCGATCAATATTACAATCCACAATGGCGTCAATCACACGGTCCTGCACCCTACTTTCCAGTCCAGCACGAAGCCAACCGGGGTTTCCATTTAAATCACATCTCTAGCTTTTTTCTTTTTCTTTTTTTTCTTTTCCTTTGGGGAAGCTGCAGAATACGAACTGGAGGTCGCTTTCATTTTTAGGATGCTCACCAAAATATCTCAGAGCAACCAAAATAGTCAGGATTGGTGCTTATTTTTGCATTTTTCATTTAAACCAGGATAATGGTTTTAATTGGAGAGGGCATTAAGATGTGATTGATGCGGGTTAATCTAAAACAGGATTCTTTTTTTCGTGAAGAGATGGCTTGATGTTAGCCTGCGAAATGATCGATTGGTACGTTAATAATTGATGTTTGAGGGGAAGATAGGGGGGTAAACAGTGCAGCTGCGGTTTCAGAGCCTCGTTGTTCGTTAAGCACAGCAACGTGTGGTGTAAGTACTGAGACACGCATGTACAAGCATCGCCTTTGAAATCCTCTGGTGGGAGAGCAACAGTCATTTTCTTGAGGTTATACCTTGAGGCTATTTTGTTTAAATCCGTGTAGCTCATTGCAGATGAAATGACATCTCACGCCTTGCATCATTATCTGCAAGCCGGCAATAAAAAGGGTGTGCATGTGGAAGGTAAAGTCAATTAATTCAACTTTAAATTTGCATACATCTTAATGTTGTAGGCTTGCATGAATATTCATAAAGGGATGCATCATGGGAAGTTACACAAGGACGGGGGCTTTGAAGAGAAACACCTACACATGCTCCCTAAAATATGATTATTCTACATGAGGCTGCAGCTTCCTGCAAAGGTTCTTATTCGCCCCTGCATAACGCAGGACAGCATCACAGCCCCCAGCTACAACCTGCATACGTGTCGCCTCCCCGTTTCTCCTCTCCTGTGCGTATGTGATCGGGATGTAGAGTGCGTCTGCGCCACATTGTTAAGGCCGATCTGGCGAGCCCTGAATCTGTATCGATTTCCATTCCCCGGCCTCTGCTTTCCATCTCTGGAGCCGCGCCATGCAGCCATGCAACCCCCTCCATCCTCCACCATGCAACACCATTTCTCCCATTAACAGCTCACCCTTCAAACACACACACACACAACAGAATGACTAATAAACGCATGCTCCTCGCGCTGGCTTGTTGCACACCTCGCCGCGTGCTCTGGTCAAAACAAGTCAAATGCTGACTTTAAAAAAATGTGAGAAGGTTTTAGTGGATCCGCTCTGTGTCTGTGATGGAGACGGATTACAGCAACATGAGACGACTTAAAGTTCACAGACGGTTAACCTCTTTTCGCTCATTATACATCCCACCCACACTGTTCTGACCAAGTCGACCTTATTATTCAAAATAATGTAATTTTAATAGAAATCAGATCAGCGACAGAAGCAGCAGCCTGCACTGTCTCCCACATCTTCACCCATTTCTCTTTTT